CTGTCAAACCCCCAGGCAGTGCACTAGATTTTGCCATCATTATCACTATTCTTTAAGAAAGGAATCAAATTCCACTTAGTTTAGTCTTTTCTTTTCTTTTCTTTTCTAGGTACAAAGTAACTTTAAAAGAAAAGGTGAATTGAACTACTTTAATGCTTGGTAACCGTAAACATTGGGTTCAAAATTAGAGGATCTTTTTCTTGCTTCAATAAGAATAAGAACGCACAGATGCACATCTGATACAAGTCATTTCTACTTCCAGATTTTGTATAATTGCAGAATTTTGACTGCAAAGTTTATTTCTGGAAAGTCTGTAGTTGGCCTTACCATTCTTTTTCATTCTATACCTAATTATAATTTTAACAAAGCAAATGGACTCAGCATATATATACATAAGTTTATTTTATCCTTAACAGTACATCGAATATAAACTCTCTCTCTCTCTATATATATATACATATATTAGTTTTTTCTTGTTGCAAAGTTGCTATCCCCAGAGAGGATCAAAGAATAGGTTAGAGCTTAACTGCCCCAATTCATGCTCTTCCAACTAATTAAACTGTCTTGGATAGTTATATATTTTGGGTGTAAGAGAATTTTGGGAAGGTATAGCTGCAACAATAGTTTAAGAAAGCAGCCATAACCATTGTTTTTTAAAACTCTTTGTCTTGCTTAATCAATAACCGACCTTTTGTTTGAAGCTTTTTATAATAAGAAAGGCTTTTGAAGATCGAGGCAACAAGGCTTTGATTGACTTCCTTAACTCTGCAAATGGAATGCATTTGATCTAATGATTCTGGTAACATCAACCAACTAGTTTTGTCAAACAGTTTTCCCCCATTCTTTTCTGCTTTACAATGTGAAAGCAAAATTAACTATTGGGATAGACCAAAGTTTTGATTATTTTAGCAAAATCCCAATTTCATATTATATTTGGGTCTCCCTTTGTTTATCTCACAGTTTTAAGATTCTCCTTGATAGCCTGAAAGATTAACAAATCTAATAAATTAATAGCTAAAAAATTCATAGAGTAAAATAGACATATTTAAACAATCTTCCTATTAATTAATTTGTGAAAGCAACTACTTCTTTGATTATTATTATTAGTTTTTAAAGATTATGCTATGTGAACAATCAACCCAAGTTTTGGGTTCATTGTGTTTTAATTAATTAAAAAAAATTATTCTTGGTTTACAATATTTTCTTCATGGCATGTCACAAGTTATGATTCTGATTCTAGATTAGTGTTGACATCATATCCACTAATGGCGGTTGTGATTGTAAGAGGAAACTTTCTTCCTTGTTGATTACGTATATTATGAAAACAAAGCTAGATTCTAGAGAACATTAACCACTTATTCCTTCCCTCGTTTATTTTATTTATCCTCGCATGATTTCTCTTTTAACTTACACAATTAACTATTCAATGAAATTATTGTATATATGAAAGTATTCGTATAGTTCCTAGTTTTGATGCTGCTTTTGATGCAGCGTGATCAGTTTACGTGTCGAACTTCTGTACCATCTGTGATATATAGTATCGTGTTTCGTGGTTTAGCAGCCTAATAACCAAGTCCACATAATTATTACTTAATTGGCCTCTTCCTATCTTTCTCTTAAAAGACTAGTCTTTGATACAGAGTCAACCCAACAACTTGAATCAGACATCCACCAAAGTTTAGACCAAGTCAAACAATTGATATGCTTTGGAATATTTTTGTTTTCCCCTCTTTTCAAGATTAGTTCATGGAAATGGCTGTTTTCTCAAACTAAAAAAAGAGTTAAAGTGGACTTGGGGTTTCCCTTTACATCTTGTTCAAAGAGTCACCTAATATGGATGTGCTTCATTAATATTGAAAGGTATCTCACTAACTGCTAGCTTCGAGGCCCAAAGCAGAGAAGCTCATCCTCTTCTTTCATTGATGGAGATTCGTTCGAGAAACACCAAGCCAAGCAAGTGCAATGAAACCACTTGTTTGATGTAATTTCAAGGCAATTCCCCCATCAAATTGTTGGGCATGTTTGAGAGGTCATAGAATAATTTTCTATTATTATACACCTAAAATATAAATATATCATATAACTAAGATGCCCATAAATATAAAAATGACACAGATTTTTTGTTTTCGAAATACATCTCAAATCGTAAGGACAATGATTTATGATAATAATGGTAGAATTTTTTTTTTTGAAATGCTATGAGATGTCTATCAATTACTAGGGGAAACATTTTGTTACAAAATTACAAGTTTATATATAATAGATATTGGTGGAGACATAACCTCATCCATAACAATATATCTAAGTTAATTTTCTCAATAATTTTGAACGGCTAGAAACGCATGTTGAATCACATCAAGAGTTTTAAATATAGAAATCAAAGAGACAAAATTCATTACTGATAAGTTAACAAAAGCTGGAGTTTTACTTATAGAAATCTTTTCATTCTTCTATATTAATAAAGGAAAACATATAGTCAGATTGTTTTTTAAAAAATGGTATTTAAGTTAACTTTTTTCGATTATCTCTAATCAGATATCTTATATCGATTAAAAACACATCTCGAATTACATCAAGGGTCTTAAGTGTAGAGATCAGAGAGATAAATTTCATCGCCGATAAATTAACAAAAGCCGGAGATTTACGTGGGGATCTTTTCGTCATTCGGTAATACTAGAAGAAGTGCCGGTCGACGTGTCTAATCAATTCATGAGAAAGAAAAAGGCAAATAAAGGAGAAATCCGTTGACCCCAAGCGATTTCTAGAAGCAGAAGGATTGGAATGGGAGAGCACACAGCGGGGATTGCGGCAAGGAGAAGTTAGCAGCGTCAGGGTTTTTTGGGTTTGAAAAATATTCTGCCTTTTTTGGCAAGAATAAAAAGGGGGAGGGGCACATGGGAAGTCAAAGTCAACAGTTTCCCCCCGACTATTAAAATTGGCAACGTTAAAACGCGTCTGTCTAACACAACCGGACAAAACCACTTTAATTACAGCAAGGGCCACTCAGGACAAATCACCCTCGCTTTGCGTGCACGTCTCTTCGCTATTCTCCCTTTCTTTTTTTGCCCTCTCCTCATATTCCTTTCTCTCTTTGTTTGAGTTATCTTCGTACGTGTTCGAGGTGTATGTTTTCCTTCCTACGTAAGTCTTTGTCAGCTTAGGGTTATATATGTTGGATACGTAATATTCTACGGATCCTTTCCGTCTTTAAATAGTTAGCGGTTTTAACTTTGACAGAGATTAAAACAAAAGTGGATAATACTCGACTTTGCAGTGTGAAAGAAGGAGATGCTGCTCCTCTTTCTTTTCCCCCATTGAGTATAGTTTATCCGAGAAAACAAGTTTAAAACATGGAACAGGTGTTTCAAGCATCTTTCCACTAGAAGATATTCTATGTCAATACAGCTCAGAGGGACCTGATTCAGGATAGAATATATTAGTGTTATATATATATATATATATATCTCTATGATCAGTGATCATCAATCAAGTGTTTACTGTTTCCACAAGCTGTAGAAAAAGATCTACTCTGTGAAGACAGGAAGTCAAATGAGGATGTTTATAGATCACAGGTCTTACAGAAAGAAGATCCATGCAAATTCATAATCTAATCCTGTTGATTTTTATATTCCAAGGCATGTAAAGTTTTCCAGTATAAACTACTCAAGAAATGGAATGTCAGGAGAGGAAACAAAACGGTGGGGAGATAAAAATAGGTGCCTGATCAAGTGGCTAATTTGAAACTGTCAAGCCACATGCCGGTAGCAGTTGGGAATGGCAATCTGGTACCAGCCTTTAATACTTTATGGGCCCGGTTTCAAGGGTCAACCGAGCGTGAAGCCTGGCCCTTTTGCTGCTTTGGTGCAGTGGACGTTTTCCATCTTGACTGCCATGATCAGATTCAAGCTTCTTCTTTTTTTTTTTTTTTCCAGGTCCAACCTTGGGAGAAGGATTTTTAAGAAATTGTGGTTGATAGGAACAGCTGCCTGGACCAGGGGGCCACTGGATGATGGATGCGCCATGGGAAACAATAGTTTCAATGTCCTGTTACATCGATCGTACGTCAGGAAGATTGCACAGACTTTCTCCCTTGTTTTGGGGTGCTTTTGTTTTTCTTAAAGATGGAGCAAAAAAGACTTGGATGATATATTTGAGAGTTTCCCATTTCAGGATTGTGTTATTTTGTCAATATAAAGCCAAGATTTTAAGACCAGCAAGTAAAGACAGATGTACAATTTGTGGGCTGATGAGACAACTTGTGGACATGGGAGTGCCCCAAGACTATGAATCTAGTGCTAGCCTGCAAAAATATATGAACCTTTTTGCATCCTTGAAAGCAAACATGAACTTTTATGAATCAGCAGATGGAAAGATGAAAGCTTCTGAACGCCTTGATCCAAAGGTAAAATAAGACAAATATGAGACTTTGTTCTCATGAAAGAACATGACATACCCCTATGATAAAAACTCTTCGAATTTAACAATGCTTTTGACTATAAATGCCACCGACAGGCTTGGGTCCGCATGTGAAAACCTGGGCCGATTGAAAGCAGCAGTCTGCCAGCCGAATTCATGGTTCAACTCCATGTCACGCAATAGAAAAAAAGAAACGATAAACCCAGCCTGACACACAGGACCATAAAAAAAGGAGAGTGTCCTTCCTAAGGGACCAGTAAATCTTAGGCTTCAAAAATCGAATGATTTTCATCGGCTGACTTGATCACAGATTAGGCCTCAAACCAATGTCATTTCTGTGAGACTGTGACACAAGTAGCAATCATAATAACATAATTGAAAGCAATCCTTAGAAACAAGACCTTTTTCTGGCAGGATAAGGTGTTGCTGACATCATTTAAGGCTCAGCTTAAAAGACCCAGTAATCTGAACAACTTGTCATCTCATCCTGGTCAAGTTTTGCCGACAATTTCTTTCACATTAAATCATCATCTCAAGTTTCAAATTTGAACCCAAAAGCTTGCTGCAATAGGTGGATTCAAAAAGCAGACAAATTTCAAGTACTAGTGCATAAATTAAACTGAAAAAATATAGATGGATGCCATGGAGTTACAGACAATAAAACGCTCCTGACGAACTAACAATCACAGTGAAGACAGCTATTGCATCTGATGCACAAGAGTTCTACTACTATTATGTATCAAAACTGCTCTCAGCAACATGAGCATGAGTTTTTCACTTCATTGAACCAGAACCTAGGAAGGGAAAGTGAAGATACGGGGCAACCATGAAAATGGAATTTTGATTCACTGGAAATACACCAGACAACCCATTTACCAAAACCAACGAAATGCGAGAATAGGAGCATACTCTCCACCTCTATATCAAGGAATGATATTTTCAGTTTCATGAATCTTTAGCTGTGTCCGTAGCTTGACGAATTCTTCGTTGATGAACATCCCAATTATAGACACGGGCAATAGTTACCTGAGCAATTGTACTAAAATAATCAAGAACTAAAGCCAACACATGTTGAAGATAAATCGTACACATACCAAGCAGGCATTAAGCATGATTAAGGCAGACGAGCTAATTCTATTTTCTTCCATCCATTTCATCGAAAAGAATTTATGGTTCGGCACCTCTTGGGTTGAACCATGTTGCACACATCCCATGAATGTTCTAATTATACCAACGAATACTGGATGCAAAAGCTGGGTTTCATTAATCACCACTAGGAACCCACTAGGTAAAGAAAGAAAGTAATATTATGGAACAACAATAGTACCTGAGTTATTGTCACCTGATCCCTCAAGAACTGCAAATCAGCTATAAGAACTTCTAAACTTGCTTTAGCATTTTCCAAATTCTTTTTCAGTAGAGTAGTGGCCTGCATACAAGGTAACAGGATAACTTAGTCTTGCTCTGTTAATGCACAAGAACAGTAAGCATCCAAATTGCAACTATTGGACCTCTTTGCATGAATATTCCAACATGACATTTGCTCCCAGCCATAAACAAACTGAATCATTATCCTCAATGCGAGCCCGAGAATATATGCCTTCAGAGACTTCAAAATCAGCAATAAGAGCCTATACAAGCCAAAAGTAATATTATAAATCAGTAGCATATAGTAGATATTTAAGAGAAAGAATCCTAAATTCATTGGCTTCAAGCTTGTCTATACAACAAGCATGCATTTATAGGATCTGAGCATTTCACACCTAATCCAGCACCATAAGAATGTCTTAAACGATTAGATTCCCAAATTCCAAAATAAAAAATTATGCCTGAACCTTGAGCATTTCATGCAACATGGGCCTATATGTAGCAGATCACAAGATTACCACATTCAGACAACCGAGAGTTTCCTACTATATCGATGCAGAAGCTCAGAAAGACAGAATAGTCCTTCACATTGCAAAATCTCATATGGAAACCTTATCCAAGTTTATCATAAGAAAATGAAGAATCAAAAACTTCTATAAAAAAATGAACCATGATATTAAAAGTCAAGATATCATAGAAAGACGAACCTCACCAGTACCCTTCTTAGCTTGTAAAGTGGCAACCACATCCAAACATTTCTCAATATCAGGGATTTTTGCCTGATGACCACAATAGACAAGCGCATTATTCAAGACTCTTACAACACGTCATAAGAGAAGCAATTTACATATATGCAATATAAATTAAGCATGAATGAGAGTGTCTAGCCTGGTTAAATTTTTGGTAGGGAATGAACATAGATTAACCCAACATAAATTAATGTAATTTAAAAAACACCATAAAATATAGGTCTCAAGGCAGCATCCCCAAAACGTTTTTTGATCCCCTACATGTTAAATTATCCTTTTGTCTTTTCAACATTTAGCAAATGAAACACACAAACACACAGCTATGTTGATAAACAGCCACAAAACATGGAAAAGCAAACACGAGAAAATAATAAAAGAGTCGATACAATTAATTCTTCCGTAATTTTCTTTCTTGTCCAATAATTAAGATAATTACTGGACCATATTTGCTTACCACACCAACATCGATGTTCCACAGCTGAGGAAAACAAAAATTTATTATTAGCTTTATGTAGTTTCCTATTAATCCCTTTTTTCCCCATACATAGAGGTAGCTTTATGCAGCCTTAGATGCAACACATCAAGTTGTTCCGAAATAAATCCCCGGCATAAGCTTGATTGCATTCAGTATCTAGAAATAATAGTTGGATATACTTTCTCCAGCATAAGCCTGTACAAAAAGCTTGAACTAGCGAGGCCAATTCTAACAAGTTAACATGCCGAGTTCTTTGCAATTCCATCCAGCTTTTACAAAAGGGCATTAAAAGATGAATAACGTGCATCAACACAAGGGTGTAATTATGACTTTGTCTGGCTTCCTTTCTCTTGCTATGAACTAATGACTAATGAGCATTTTGGCAAGTAATCAAATTCAAAGCACATTACCATGGACCCCATTTATGGACTTTACAAGTGAGAACCATCTTATTGGAATATCTCTAAGATCAAGGATTAAGACCATTTAATAATCAAATAAATCAACAGCAATTTTCCCTCTACACATCTATGCTCAACGAAAACTGTTTTACCAAATTTGAAATTTTAACACTGACCATAAAACCTCTCCTTTATTTTTCATTTTTTTTTCAAAAAAAAAATACCATAATAACAATTAACAAATTAGTATAAAAATAGCAAAAGTTCTAGTCTCACACAAAACTTTTGCCCACACAATGAGTACAACCAAATGCGTAGAAATGGAACCGAAATCCCAATTTTGATAAGTAAAACCAAGTATAGCGGATCGAAATAAAATATAATACAATAAAATAGAGATACAAGTCAGTAAAAGAAAAAGATCCCTATATAATACCTGAAGATCTCGTTGCTGAGCAAGAAGTTTCATCTCAACCAACTTATACTGCTGAAGCCTGCAAATTCATTAACTTAAACCAAATAAGTCTAAAATCGTTCAATCCCAACTAATCTTCAGAGATAAAGCTACCCAACTTCATAATTTAACGAAAATTGGAAAAAAAATTGAACTTTAACGAAAAAAATCAAGCCGCCGGGAAACCGAGTAAACAAGAGCGAAATAGCAGGCGGTCGACTAAGAGGAGGACGATTCTCGAAGTCTAGGAAGCTCAGCGAATTGAGAAAAAAGAATAAGAGAGGAAAAGAAAGGGACCTTTCTTGGAGAAAAGCAAGGGCAGAGTTGACATCAAGGCCTGCTTGAGAGAGATAAGTCTCTACGTCTTCAACGAATTGAGCTCCCGGAATTCCTCTCCTCTCCGTCTTTACTTCTGACGATGATGAAGACGAAGATTCTGCCGCCATATTCTATGTTTTTTGATTTGAGCGCTGAAATCGGAGGAAAGTTTGCGCCGGAGAGTGAGCCTATTGCCTTCGAAGAAAGCTTGTGAGTGCCAGTGTGGGGGGAGGGGTGGCGGACCTTGGGACACCAAAAAAGGACAAAGTCAGATTCGTCAGACTAAACGTCTTCCGCGACGTCGTTTCGAAGGTAAATACGACAATTCTCCGGCCCAATCAAACTGGAAAATGGGCTCCGTTTTTTGGAGCCCCAGCCATCCATCCGACCCTTTCTTTTTATTTTTGAACCCATTTCTAGGAAGCCAGGCCCATTAGTTAAAAGATAAGAATTTGGGCCCAAGCAATGTAGGTTCACAGCCCATCATTAATTTTCTTTTATCATAACCTTTCGATATAACTAATGATCAATTTTAATATAAATGTAATAAAAAATGACATCATGCAAAATAAAACTAAAATCTCAAGATCAAGGAAAAAAATATTTGAACCAAATATATAATATAGTAAGCTATGAGAAGTTTGCCCTCATTTCTAGTTAAAGACATCTTTCTTTTGATAACTTTAAATGTTGATATTTATATTATCAAAGTTTATTTACATACGTAAGATTTAAATCTTATTTTTAAAGAAAAAAGAAAATAGAAATATATTGAATCAGGGGTTATGATTTTTTTTAAATTCGTAAATAAATTGACAGCAGCTAACTAGATGCATGGATTATTCAATGCGTAAATCTTCTTAATTAATGAACATTATGAATATGCTTGCATCATTAGACATTGTTTAGGTGGCTAAATTTTGGATTTAATCTTGTCCACTTAATCATTGTCACCAAGATATACAATCCTTTTTTTCTTTTTCTTGTTACTTTTCCCCGTATAATTCCTCCCTTTTTACCCTTGACTCTTGCATGAAACTTTGATTCAAAACTTACACCAACTATCTAGGTTACCTTGGATTAGGCTACCAGGTTTGCATTTCGTTCGATCATAATGTTGTTGCAAATTGCTAAAATTATCTTTTGGTTAGAAGGATTTGCTTATAACTATGTTCATCTTGATCATGATAATCATAAAGGATTCAATCCAAGCATGCATTGAAGTAAGGAAAAACATGAAGAAGTTATAGGGACAAGGTGCGTGATTTATGGGAAGTGTTTTCCACTCCATAAGTTGCTATTAGTACTATCAAATTATCAATCATGTATACCTTTTTTTTATTCTTTCTTTTCTTTTGTATCAAATCCATCAAAGGCGGGCTCTTGGATGGCCACTAAGACAAGTGTTCATATGCAACTAGTTCACCTAACAAGTTGCTTTGACATATGACCACTGCTGCTATGGCAACTCTCTTGTGGTACTTGAATCTTGACTCTTCTCCACCCACTCAAAAGTTATATATCCTAAGAACAAAAACTTTTTCTGGGTTAGGGCAGTACAAAATTTACTAATCAGAGGATGCAGGAAAGAAGTCTAGGAACCCTTAGCTAGATTATGATTAAAGTTGCTTCCAAAGCTACTAACCAGAACATTACCATTTGCTTTGAGATAATTGCAGGCAATGGCAGAAGCCAGGAATAGCTTCTGCAAGGGAATCCCATCCCAGCCAACGCCATTGGAACCTAAATTAATAGCAAAATATGGAGAAAAAAGACTCCCAAAATACATCCAAATTTAGTAGGTGGCGACAATAGAAATAAGATTTGCCTAATCAAACCCGCTTAGGAAAGACGCTGAGATGTAAACCTTTTTTGGTCCATTGAAAGACTGCAATGAAACCTATAGCTAAAAGGAGGTTAGCCATCTAATCCTAGTTTGCAGCCTAGTTGCATATGGTAACTTTTTTAGGCTCACATGGGAAGGGAAAGTTTTGATAGCCCGAAGTAAGCATATTCAGTATATCTTTGGTCACTTTTCATGTAGTTGGTAAGAGTAAAATTTCATGATTGTACATCCCCCTACCCTCCCTAGGAAATGGCCGGCTTCTTGTTGTTTAGTCTCAAGTTTTGCAATCTCCTATCGCTCAGAAAGAGGAAAAATAACTTCATATAGTCATGTCAAGATGAAGAGATACATGCTTATTACCTGTACTCATCCTATTCTTTGGGCATTTTCCAAAAGGAAATCACCAAAATTGTATCATTATTGGCAGTTGGATTTCTGACACCAATTGGGATAATCCTTCTATTTTTGCTGTTACACAGCATTGAACTCGTTATAAATACACATATTTATTCATTTTTATTGTGAGATATCGTTTGATCGATTATGTACATATTCTATTCATATATACATATAAAAAAAAATTCTATTTTTGTGCCCTTTCGAAAGTTGTAATCGGATGATTCTTTTAAAAATACAAATTCAGACAAAAGAAATTAAAAACAAAAAGGAGAGGGCGGCTTTTATTTAATATAAAGTATCTAATTAAGCTTTTTATGACTGAATTGCCATTTGCCACCCACTAAACCTATTCTAGATTCTTCAAGCTAATAATTAGAATTACATATTTAATTTTTTTCATTGCACCTTTCTTTAATTAAATTTTTCTATAATTGTAACGTAAGCAACTATGCATACACATGGCCATTGTGGTCCAAAACGAATCCCCTCATTCTTTTCTTTAACTAAAAGAATCAAATGTAATAATTATATAAAAAAAAAAACCCTTTACCCAGAAGCTAAATTTCTTACCCACAACACAAATTTAGCACATATTTCTTTGTTCCCTACTTGTCTGTGCCTTTGATATGTTGGCTCTTGATTAGAAAGACAAATACATAGAATAGAGAAAAGGAATTTTCTTTTTATTTCCCTTTTATATTTTAATTTACTATGCTTTGGTCCCCCCGTTTTCTTTCTATAGACAGCAATGCAAATAGAAGGAGGCGCCCCCCACCCTCCCTCCCTCTCCTTCCCCCTCTCTTTGAAAAGAAAACGACACGACTTCTTTCAAAGAGACAGTAACACGGCTGGTTCATTGCACATAAAAAGTGTACAACAGTTTCCTTGAAATATTATTAATGCAGTGTTCCATGTATTGATTGTAAGAAATTTGTTTCAATCCTTGTCTTTGGAGGGGGGTGGGGGCACAGGGTTTGGCAAAAAAGTGTGCGACCCCAATCTGGCATTTGTCTAAGGACACAATTGGTCCCCCATTTAGGCATTGCTTTTACCTAATCTTTCTTTGTTTTTCAGTTTTTCAAAGGCATATGTGTACATTTCTGGCTCATCAGCTGCATTATTTCGGATTCAAAATTAGCTATTTCTTGAATATAAAACGACAACGACAAGTCGAAGGTTATGAGATATTTTTATGGATTTATTAGCTAAATTTGATGTTGAAGAATTGAAGATGTTTTATCTTTCATGGTAGATTAATTTGGTGTTTTTCTATATATAGGTGTTTAGTTTTGGTTTAGATTTTGAATTTTTTTAAATTTTTTAAATCAAAGTAGTATATTAAAATATAAAAATAATACAAAAATTATATTGGTAAAAGCCAGTTAAGATACAAAAGATTTTTATGGTTAAAATACTGAGGAACAAAATATTTAGATTCCCAGCGAGCAAGCAAGCTGTTAATTTGTAGGTCATTAGCTGAGAATATATTATATTATTGGGATAGATTTTGTTCATTAAACAAATCAGAGGTGGAGAAAATTTGGGAATCAAGTGAATAGGAGATTGTCCAACTAATCAGCCTATCAGATAAGGAAATGAATTCAGAAGTAGGGCAAATACGTGGAAGAATTCTTTTAATCTTGGTCAATTATTTACCTACCCTAAGCTATAACATTTGAATTTGTCCACTACCCTTGTTGTAATAATTGAAGGAATTAGAAGGTATATATTTTTGTCTTATGTATCCTCACTTGAGATTAATTTTAATGTTGAATTTAATATAGATTGTATATTGGATTCATTTTGATTAATTTAGTTTTAATTGAAAATTACTCATCCTTACCTGCAATAATCAAAAGAACTAAAAGATATTTTCATTTTAATTATCCCAGCGAGGGATTAATTTGAATGCGATTAATATATTGGAATTTAATAGATTATATATATGTGTGCGTGTGTGTGGATTTAAATGAAAATAATGGTCATATTATGTGGATGATGGCACCCCACAAACACACAATGTAGAAGAGATTATGATACCCTACCTGAAACCCTAGATGTTACCTCCAAACAGTTATTTTCTTTTGTTGGTATTGGAGAAGACGACGAAACCCTAAAATCAGTCATGTTGGGAGGATTAGGAAGAACCCTCAAAAATCAAATCCACAACTAGTGGTGGTGAGTGGTGACCAAAAATGTAGTTGCCCATCCACACAATGCCTTTAATTGGCTTTTTTTTTTTTTTTCAGTTTGTTTCTTCTTCTATTTATTTATTTATAATTTTTTTCTCTTTCTTTTCACTTTTGTTTTCTTGGAGTTTAATGGACAAGGCATGACCCCTCCATGTGGGTTTAGAATGCTTTAGGTAAAATCATGCAAGTTTTTTTTTTCTTTTAATGCATGTCCTTTTCTTTTCTTTGGTTGTAATCACATGGTGCATGCCATATAACATATAATAAAAGAAAACAAAGCAAGAAAAGAAGGGTGGGATGGGGGAGGGGTTGGTTGCTTACATGGCAAAAAAAGGTATGCTGCAATATCTATGGTGTTGGGCTAAGTCTTGACATTGTCACATGTAACTAATGATTTTTTTCCCCCTTTTCTCATGGGTTCTTAGAATCTTTACCACAGTTTGAACAATCTTTATCTAGCTTTTCCCATTCAAACTGAACAGAACATAGAGTAATTTGAGAGGAAACAACAAACAGATAAAGGAATCCTAGCTATATGTCAATAAAAGCTTTGTATATACCAAACTATATATCTCAAAGTCTTGGATCATTCATTTGACAATATTGTAGATCATCTCTCCACCCTGATGAGTTGCTTGCCTTGAAATATCCTTTTCAACTTAAGGGTCCTTTTTTTTTTTAAAAAAAAAAAAAAATAGGGTTTATGTAGTGCAAATCAACAGAGAAATGGAAGCAGACAGCGACCCATAGTTTGAACACTAGAAGCAATGCCAAAGGACATGGCAGCCCAAGTTGCCAAAGTAAAAATGTTGTTAGAAATGTCAATGGCCCCCATGTGGTCTAAGTGGGTGCATCTAGCTGGTGCTTCCATTTTCACCTTTTATCACATGCATGCTAATTTCCTTTGCTACTTATACAGAAACAAAGGATATCAAGTAAGTACAGTGGAAGGAGCTTGAAAGTCAGGATTCTTTCACACAAATATGAAAAGATAGAGGAAGAACCCCAATTTCTTTTAGTTTGGAGGGACAAGGATCTCTCCCCACCTCATTACAAAATCTTTCCCAACCCTATCTCTTCATGTTAAAGAAAGGGCAAAACCCAACTCAATTCATTATGCTGTTCATGATTAAGAGAACAAACTGCTCTAAATCATTGCTCTTAAAGCTAAGTCTTTCATTATTCCCTCCTAAAAAAAGATGCGTTAATAAAACAAAAAAAAAAAAAAACCAAGGATGTTAAGTAGCGGCAACCATTGTGCAATTAACCACCTTTGCTCGCCACATGCTTAGCACTAATGATTCAATCCCACGAGTATGGAGCCGACAATCTCTTTAATTTCACGATAGATTTTCCAAAGAGTTTGAGCCAACTAATTAAGTAATTAATAAGAACCTTATATATCGAAACCCGTTGTCATATTGTGTTAATTTCTCATTAATTGTTTGACTTATAAATGGAAATTATAAACTAAGAGCGTGCTATTCTTAATCTTTTATGTTTTATCTTTTGATGACGAGATTAATTAGATCAATTATTGGCTATGATTATTTTTTTTGTTAAAAAAAACAAAAAATGTCATGTAATAAGGATTTAGATTGATAATGAGAGGTGTGTGGTGTGGTGGAGGATGGTAGCTTTTCTAGCTTTTCAATCAAGGAAGTTTGTTGTTGATGAAAATTGGGTTTGATATCATTTGATTAATATTCACACTTAGCTCATCTCAACCACTTGTTAAGTGGACATGCTTTGGGTATCCATCACATCTAAAGTCATAAAAGAATTTTTTTTTATCATACAATTTAAAATCAAGATTAAATTCAATAAAAAATGAAAAAAAGAAAAGAAAGAGAAAAATTAATGACTTAATTAGAAATTAAAATAGATTGATCACCAAATATCTTCGTACTCAACACACCAAAACAAATAGTTCAAAAATACCATGAAAAATATTTATATACCAACCATTTCGCTTAATCAGCATTCATTTTCAAAACCTTAAGCTCTAAAGAAATTCATTGAGGCTGGTGGTCATGATTTTTTCCATGGGAATTAATTATATATGATGATAATTACCCCATATAATTACCACCATGCTAAATAATTCAGTTTGGGAAAGCCTTTGTTATAATCAATAGGATCCACATCGATCAAGTACTCTTGTTTCTTCTTTTCAGAGTAGGAATTTTTTGGAATATAACACTGAATCAAAATTTTTATCGCTTGAGTGAAGTTTTAATAAGTCAAAATTCTTATGGATCTTGAATATCTATATATCTATATATATATATATATATATGTAAATGTCAAAACAAAAGAAGAAAGAAACAATAGATGCTCTAAGTTCCTGTCATAGAGTGGAAGACAAAACATATTTTCAGTCGTGCAAAATTCCATTTTGCTGCATTTATCGCAAAGAATTTTATAAGGTATGATTGCAACGTGTGTGTTAAGAATAAGGTGCACGAGTTTCAATATAAAAACAAAACAGAAGAAAAAGCAAAAAAAAAAAAAAAAAGAAGCTTAATTTTGCCCAGAAAACTGTTGGTTAAAAGCTCCAAAAATTTGACATCCAAATCAGCAGTGCAGTGGAGGATGTTGACAGCTGAAAAGTGTATGCTTTTCTCTTCTTTTCTTACCGTGTTTTTTTTTTGCTCCTGACTCGGGTGAAATCCAGCTTTTGCATGGATGAAACTCATGAACAACACCACCTCTTCTCACTCCATCACTCAAACCCTTTGCGTTGTACACGTAATTACTAATTGATTGTTAATGTCATTAGTCAAATGTTAAAAAATAAATTTGATTTTGAAAAAATATTGTCACACATAATTACGTATTGAATTGTTGAAAATTCATTCATTTTCTCAAGTAGTTAATGATTTGGTTGACGAATTTGTAACAAAATTAAACCGTAGTCAAGATATACTGTGAGTATTTAGATATTCGTAGTTATATCAATAGATTTTATGCTTTGATTTTCTATTGACTATTCTTAACAAGATGATTCTATTTTTTAAAATATAAAAATCGAATGAAATATATAAATCATACTACTATATATCACTAAAAAATAACACGATATTTCTAGCAGAATTAATTTCATGGGAAACATTCTTCAAGTCATATATATATATATATATATATATATATCTTGCATTCACGAATCTACCACTTGACCAGGTTAAACCGAAACTATAACGGTGTCTTGTGAAGTGAGAATTTGAAGGGAGGATCAAAATGATATGAATTTGAATTTATTAAGGCAGCTATTGGGCATAGAAAAGACACAATTTTTTTTTTCCCAAAGAAGGCAGAGAAAGGGTTTGGAGCGTATATGCTGGAAAAGAAAAAGGAGAAAGAGGGCATAGATAAGGCACATGGGTTGCATGTGTATTCTGGTGGTTTATATGCCCGTCCAAAATGAATGCGATGCATGTGCTTAAGACGGGTAGCTAGCTCGTCTCAAAAAGAAATTTCTAGAGATGGTAATGGACATCCTTTAATCGGGTATCTATGAATATCCAACTCAATTATATTTTATATAAGTATTATATATTTGAATTTGATATAAGTTCGGATAACAAGCTTAGAAATATGACCACTTTTGCTCCTTCTGAAATTGCATCATTCTATCCAATCATCAAAGGGTGTGGACGATGTCCCTCGGTGATGATCTCTGCCCATCCCTCCCAATCCCTATTGATAGCGACGAAACCCGCCAGGGCAGGGCACTCGTGTGGTTCTGGGGGATTTATACGGGGGGGAACAGGCGAGAGTGACCCGGACCAGCCAAAGCCAGGGGGACCTGTGTCTGGGGATTGGGCATTTTTCCCCACGATTCATCAAAATGTTAATTAATTAAAACTGTTGCAGGACGGGGCAGGGCAGGTCACAGCTGGATGAACCCCCCCAAAAATACAGTCCACCATTTCAGAAAAGAAAAGGGTGGCTCAGGCCATACAGCAGCTTCTCTCACATGTGCACCAATTCTGGGCACTCCCCTCTTTGCAAAAACAAGATGTGGGGACAATTACCCACATGCATACCTGCCAGATTTCTCATTAATATTTTGGCCGCTATCGCCAACTTTTGGACTGTGCATGCAGTTGGATTTTCCATGGATATTCACATTCAATTCAAGAACCAAAACTCTTCCTTTTGACGCTTTTCTGCCATGTTATATCCATCCTTTCAATAACATTATACTAAGCAAATGTGAAGTATATGATAAGCCAAAACATAAACAAATTAATATATAGTAGCAAATATTAAACATCTAAATAGTTTTATAAAATAATGGGAAGCGACTCAAAAATGAAGGTGGCTGTGACACATTCGTAATAAAAACTTTTATCTATCCACATTCAAAGTTACGAAATCAGAATTTCAAACTTATCTTTCAATTATATTTTAAAAAAATATGACTCAATCACAGATGAACAAAAGGTAATGATAATAATTCTACGTACTAACAATTTTTTTTATATTTTTGTAATGTATTATGCCTAAGATCTGGGGTTTTAATTCTTCTTTTATTTATAATTTAAGGTCTAAACAAAAATCCCATTACCCTCGGAATAGAAATTTCTGAAAGAAAAGGATAAATGAAAAGAAACCGTGTGAATACATTTAAGTTTGAGAGTGAAGTTCACTGAAATCTAGCAAAACAAACAGGTCATATCAAATCAGCAATAAAAATAGAAGTGAAAACACCGCACCTCGGAGATCATCCCAAGATGCAGTACAGGAGTAGTAGCTGTTAGCTAATAGCGTTAGCCCCGTCAGGCATCAAGTGCATTTGTCACCTACCCTAATTTGGACACTTCTTCTTCACCTTATCCAACCCAAAAAAATTGAAAACTAAAAGGCCAAAAAAGAAAATTAGATTAAATAAATAAAACCTCTGATTTTAAGCCTGAAATAAATGAACAACAATTATACAGAATCAAGCATTTACATCTTCTTCTTATTGCAATATATTTCCAGAGGAATAGTAGTGTACATAATAAGGGAAAAATGCCGGATTTTTTTGTTTTTCTTGAAAAGAGATGGATTCAAAAGTTATGGAATGAAATGAAAATGTGAGATGGAAATTACCTGAGAAGGAAAAGAAATAAGACATGTATTTAACAGGAGAAGATTACTTAAGAGAGAAGAGTGGGAAGGGCAGGAGAGATAATAAAAATTAAAAATAAAAGAAAAATAGGGAAAAAAAAAAGGAGGACACTTGGCGTTTAAGAGAATTAAAAAGTGTCACTGGCTAGTCGGCGGCTGCAGCGGCGGGGACTGAGGCGGAGGAGCTGAGCTAGAGCTGGAGGCTCCGGAGCCAGATAGCAGTTCGGCGAGAGCGCTCATGGCTCGAACCTGCATCTCAAGCGCCGCTATGTAATCAGTTGCTTCTTCAAGAATAACCGGCAGCGGTTGCTTCCTGCAACCAGGAACCAACCGGCCAAGAACCTTGACTTTCCTTTGAACAGCCGGTAAACTTTTGGATTTCAATTTCAAAACGCTAACTCTCGGTTTCTTCGACCGGCTACTCCCGGTGACGGCGGCCACCGCAGCGGCGGATCCTCTCTGTCTCTTCTGCTTTCTGAATTTCAGCTTAAGCCGGTTCGTCAAAATGGCCCGGCTCCACCTGGTCCTTCCTTTAGCAGCTACGGCCAAGGCTCTGTCAGCAGCTTCACGGACAGCTCGGCCACCGCGCGGAGCCGAAGGAGAAGGACCGTTGAGACTGACCTGACTCAGGGCTTGAAGAAGCTTCGAGGAATAGATTTGCTGCTGCGCCTCTGATTTCCATCTGGCATGGTTCTGGTTTTGGCTCTGTTGATTCTCTTTGATCATTGATTTCTTCTTCTTTTTCCTTTTGCTGCGATCAGAATTTGTGTTCGTCACTGGATTCGTTGTCACAGATGCCATCTCACCGGATCAAATCCGTAAATATTCTCCCTCTCTTTCACTCCCTCTCTCTCACTCTCTTTTCACCGTACGATTCGATGGATTATAACAGAAAACCGTCTGCAATTAAAAGAAAAAAAATAAATAAAAGGGATTTAGATTCAGGATTTTAGATAAAAAAAATATAAGATTCAAATCAAAATTCCGCAAAAAGAAAAGAATTTATTACCGATTTGATGAATTCAGAGCAGTTGAGAGAAAAGATCGAAAGGATAAGAGAGGAACGGAAGGAGGGAGACGAACGGAACGGAGTTGTTGAGGTGTCGCTTATTTGTGGTTTTAGAAAGGGAGGGAGAGGGAGAGGGAGAGGGAGAGAGAGAGAAACGGGGGGAGGAGGGGGGAATGGTTATAAAGGACTGAAAAATGAAAAGTGATAGCATGCGTTAATTTACTTGGTACTCTTATTTATTGCTTTTGGGTTTCGGGATTTTGCTTTTGTGCGGGTGGGTGCGGGTTCGACCTTTGGTGTGTGAGGGAAATGGTGACGGTCGGTCCTGTTGAACGTGGGTCGGCTGATGCGGGGGGGAGAGGCGGGGCCTGACCTTTTGTTTTTGATCCTTTCACAGACAGCTTGACACGTGCATTTTGTGTGACGAAAGCACCCTTCTTAATAGATTCCATTGTGAAAAATCGCAGTTTGTTACTTACTGCTCTTTTGTATTATACAATTAAATTAGAGGAAAGGATTTATTCTTGTGACTCACTAGTCATTAAAGGTGAGGACGCTGCCACGACACAATTATGCTATTTAAATGAGACTTGGTACACGTATTTACATTTGGTTAACTTTATGATGTTCGCAATGTTGTTGATGTTTTGGACTATCTAATTACATATAATTTTTTTAAATTACATAACTAGATTTTACAATTCATATTAAAATTTGTTAATGATGTAGTATAAATATAAAATATTAATAATTTTATAATTAATACAAATATAAAAATAATTAATTAAATATGTCAATCACGTAAACATATATAGTATTATATGACATGACATAACTAACACTTTTATTAAATAAATTAAATTAAATTTTACATGACATGATTGATAACATGTTTTAAATACAACTAATATGATTAACCTATTTAAAATTATATTTAATAATTACATAAACAAGTTATATAAATCAAATAATACAAATCGATGATCTAGTTAACTAAATAAATAAACAAATGTTAAACAGGTTAAGTAGATTTAATCTACTTAACATACATAATTATCATGTTTTAAACATTTTGATATAATTAACACACAAAATACGATAACTACAAATTCAAATCCCTTTAATCTTTTATATGTTTAACTTTCTTTTCCTCTTTGTGAGGAAAATAATGACTGATATGGTAGGAACATAAAAGAATTTTCAAAATCTTTTATTCCTTCATCACTCGCGTAAAATCTAAAATGTTTGTAGCATTCTTGTCTACTATATCAGTTACCCAACCTTTGACATGGTGATCATACGGCAAGCAAAATAGAATGCAGTGCACACTGCAGCAGAGCAACAAAATGCAGGCATCATCTATTGAGAATATCTAAAAGTAAACACAATCTCCTTTGTTACAAATTCTTGCATATATGAAAAAGGTAACTTGATCCAAGTATATGCTTGAACGTTAGTTGAGATTTCAGAACTGAAATGCAATTCTATATAAAAATCATCAACGACGACTAACATAAACAGACGCTTACGTAAGAATGTATGCATGAATCTCGTCAAGCAGAACACTTCTACAGTCAAACAACATAGAAATTCTAGACTTCGTTTTACCAATTTCATTCAAAGTTCTCCAAATAACAAACAAAACGAAGAGCAGATACAGTTAGAAGAAATTTCTTCGTTTTGGTTTCAAGAAAAGCTCCCTCCATTGGTCCCTAAGAGAACCAAAAAGAATAAACCACCTATTCGCCAAAATTTACCTCAAAACGAAGGCAACTCGACACGATTTCGGTGTCCCATGATGCCAAAATATTAAAATAAAAGAGAAAGAAGGGAAGGTGGTGACGTGTACAAGTGCGATTGGATGGATTTGTGGTGTTGGCTTCCACTAATTGACTGCAGACCCGGTCCCATATAAAAATTTGTTTTCATTCCGTGCAATAATTATTGGAGGTGATGATCCACAAGAATAAAAAAAGATAAACAAATGAAAAATGCATGTGCAATGTGGGTTGTTTCTCTGGCACTTTTCTATCTTCGGGCTTTGTTTTGTATTTGTTGGACGGGGAGGTTTGGAATTTTCCCTCCTTTGCGAGGTGTGGACATTTACGCTCCACATTTCCCGCAATGGGGTCCCCATTTTCTCCCAATGGCCAAGATATTTATTCAGATAATACTTCACTAATCCTATCATTCTTAACAAGAAAGCTTCCACTAAGCATATGGTTTTTACCCCACCTCAAAACATTAAATCAAAAAGGAAACTTTTGTGTTTCATCACACTCTTTTCTCATTTACTGGCTCGACGTCACTCCCCATCACATGAATTTCCAGCTGGGGGAAAATAATATAATTTTACCAAGCTAGTCGCGATCAGAAAATTTCAACAAGCTTTGTAGCACAAAGCAAGTAACAGTTGTTGTGAAAATAACGAAATAATCTTAAAAAATAAATCTACTCAAATCTTGTATGATTAATAGAATAAAGATAGATAGTAGTAATGTAAAGACGTCAAAGCCATATAATTACTATGCATGATGGTCTCAAGAGAGTGGCCCACCAAGTTTATCCTTTGAAAGAGTGATAATGTTATGTTAATCAACAATGTAATCTCTACTTTAATGCTGCAATTGATTTGATGCAGATTGTTAATGGAAAACCATTTTTATCAGCAAAGAAATCAGCCCACAAACAGAGGTCGATGAAAACAACCAAGGTTTTCTACCTGATCTTGGGATAATCAAAAGAAAGATGCCCCATATTCTAATATAATCATGAACCTAATCCTAATTCTCACCGAAAATCATTGTACCATGTGTCTGGCTATGAATTCTAAAATAAATTTAATCCTAATAAACTGGTTGACATTATTATGTGCCAGAGAGATTGCCTGCCTTGTGTGAGACACAATAAAGCAATGAGCACCAAAACGGGGGAAAGCAATTAAACGGGCATCAGAAAGTGAGGTACTTGGCTGCATTGAATGGTGAGGAGTGATTCAAGATTATTTAAAACTAGCTTTGGATTCAACCATGAATCGGCAGTGAACCCTAATTATTGCTAACATTGGGAGTGACGCAAATTTCAAAAGCTGTCGCAAGTAAACACAATTTGAAGAGTAAAGAATGTGTACGAGTTGAGGAGAGTCCAGCAGATATCAGATGAGGTGAGAAGACCAGTTGAAATCCAACCTGCATGAATATGGAAAACGATTTAGTTCTTAGCGGTGGGGACTGAGGGCTTGATGAAATCTGATAGTACTGTATTTCATTGTCAATAAATTTGCAACCCGACCTGAATCTGAATTTTCACATGAATCACGACTATCCCATGGCAGAACAACAAACAAGAGAGACAGAATATGACAATGGAGTGAAATTCATTAGCATAACAGAGATAACTTTTTTCAGATTTTGTGAGCAGATTTCCTCGGTAACATATATCCAGCAAGAGTCAACTCAAAGAAAGGAAAGAAAGAGAGGTAAGTATGGCCCCATACTAAGTGTAACTCCAAAAATAATGGAATGAAAACGGCACTTTCTATTAATGTGCTTTACAGGTACAAATTCGCTGGCAAGATGACATCGTAGCAACACAAGCTTTCAAGGAGAAGGGTAGAGTGATTACGTGATCGCAGCAAGCTCTCCATCCATCTATCCATCCATTCATGAAATGATGCAAGTTTTTTAATCTTGCAATTATGGCAAATTTTTGTTTCTTCTCTAAGCCATATTCGCTGGGTGATGGGTAAAAGGTCAACGCAAGGGTGATGCATCAACATCATGACTATGAATGAATTCGTCTAAGATTCAGCACAACCCTAAATATGTGCACACATACAAAATCCAACTGAGTCCAAGGTGACTACAAGGAAATCCATAAATGGTAAAGTAATTTGTTTGCCTATGTTTCTGCTAGCAAATTTCTAAAATGGTTCCATAAAGATGGATATCCTATACACTAACAATCCTCACATTAGGTGATCAGCTTCAATAGTTTTTAATTATGTTTTCAAAGATAATAAGAACATGGTCAAAACATTTCACTATGAACAAGAGAAGACAGTAAATTAATACACATAACAAGACTTATTTAATTATCAGCCAATCTGATACAGATCAAATGCATTTCTAAAACGCTTATAAGGGTTAATGTTAAAAGGTCTAAAATTCAACTAGTGGAAATCGTGAATCACTCCATCTGTGTAACGTCACCATCTTAGGGATCAAATTGCAGCATCCTGAGTTAAGACAAAGTGAGTCAACTCTAAACTCATTAAATGCTGAAATGCTCTTGCTTGATGATTAATCTAAATTTTAGCACAAAGACCCTTATTGATGGAAAGCAAACATCCAATGATTATGTTACAATCCCTCATTGATAACTCAAATTTTCTTTTTATTATACTAAACTTTGCTTTAAAGTACAACCAGCTCTCCCTCTCTCTCACCCTTAAAAAGAAAAGGTTTTAACTATTTAACAAGTCACAAATCTTTGTGGATTACATCGAATCTCAGCTTTTTAAGTATAGCCAGGCGTAAAAGTTTAGTGTTCTCATTCATTTTTCAGTGGGTATTAGTCATGCTTCCATTCATAAACAAACAAAAGTTTTGTGGATTACACCAAACCATTTAATTTAATCCAGCTAACTCTGCCCTCCTCTGCCAAACATCACTGGGAAAAAAAATCTCTTACTTGGCATGCTTAAGTGAAGTCCTCATCATTTTTGTTGTCCGATCTGCTTCTTACTAGTGACTGTCAGGCTTCTTTTTATTGACCAATTAATGATTTATCTAACTGTCAAACTAGACCCTCGCATGTCCCCTCATGAAACCACTGTCAAAGAAAGAGCCTATAAGATTGCAGTTGGTGTCACCATCTGAAAATCTCCCCATCCCTTGTTACAATTCTTAACTACCTCCTCTAAAAGAGCCTATCATTCCTCATTCACTGTCCTTTTATCATAACATAGAACTATTTTATTTACTTCAAGATAAAAATAGCTGATAACACAAATATAAATTTTGTCAAGGCTTGTGATTGTGCATTCTAGGAGTCATGCTAATGTCGCTCCCCACCACAATCTTAACTAACTCATACAGTCATGCTTTCTTTTGGTTCCATTAGATTAGAATAATATTATGACTGGTAATTTGACTTGTTTCACCTAAGTCAAACAAACAAAGATATGAAACAGTAATAGCTTTGAGCTTTTGACCGACTACTTCATAATACATAATACAGCCATATACAAGTTACATCAAGAGGTCAAATATCTAGACAGACTAGTTGCAGGAATAAAAACCTGGGCTGCCATAGATTTTTAAATACAATATGCAATAAGATAATTATTTGAAGGAGCCTCGCCACGGCATAAGCCAACTGTATGGCTTTAAATCCATTCAATATTTTATGTATAAACTTTATTGTTTACAAATGCTTTCAAGACAGCTTTCATCCAGAAGAATATACATGGTTTAGTTGTTTAGCATCAGGGGCATAAAGCTGTTCCCATACAATAAACAAATTCAATTATTGACAAGAAGAGGGTCATCGAATTATCAGTTAAGGACAAATAAAAGTGGGTAGAAATGCATGTCGTTTCACCCAGACTCTGCCCTAGATGTTACTAAATGAAAAGTCTTCAGCTACTGTTAATTGAAGCATGTACTAATTACAGCTATCTACGTTCAATATCAGTCATATTAATTAGAAATAATCAAATGATGGGAGCAAGACTATACACTTTGCTGTTAGCATAATTCCAACACACAAAAAGCACATCATATCATCAAAAACTTGAACCTGCATCGCAAAGAGGAGCAAAAAAAAAAAAAAATCCTGCTAACATCCACACAACAAAAAAGTACCTTCAAGTTGGCGGAAGTCCAGTGAAAGAGCAAGCGAGTCTTGAATAGTAGAACAAATAGAAGGAAAACAGCAAGACCGCAACAATCCAGAGCAGGAAGCAGAGAAATCCGACATAAGCATTTCTAGAAACAAGTTGAGGTATCTTATCCCTCTCTAGAGGGAGAGAGTAAAACTCATTGATAATAAACTTGATCAATTCATCCAGAACCTTCTTCGGTCTGTTCTCCATGTCAACAGAATTCAATGCTTGTAGTCGAGCTTGCTTTATAAGATTCACTACTATCTCTACTTCCGCCGATGCAGTCTTTGAAAAGTCAATTTGTTCATCTCTGTTGACAGTGCTTACCTTTGAACAAGGAGTGAGTTCAGATGGTGTGAAGTTTTCTGTTGACGTTGAAAGTGATGGATACGAAGCCATAACAAAGCTCTGACACAGAAGAAAAGAATTCAAAAACCGAAGCTACAAATGATGGATTATCTAACCACATTTTTCAAAATATTATCATCAAATTTTGCAGGAAACTTGAAATCAATAAAAAGGAAGCAACAGATAATTAAAATGAATTTATAAAAATTATTATTCATACATGAGCGACTGTACTTCAAAGAAAATGAAGATAGATTAGAAATTTATCTTACATAATTTATTAACGGTTCAATTAAAAGAAATAAAAATAGAATATAACATGATTCGAATAGCAATAGCCAATGGCAGAAGTCGTTTAAGGTAGTAATAGAAATTAAGCTAATTCACGAATTGAGATTAAGAATTAATTGACAAATATTAAGTAAATCAACCTCCAACAATCCAACTCTCACTCAAAATCACAGAAATTCATAAAAACTTTGTTAATGACTCGTACCTCAGCGGATTCACCGTTGTACTTAGAATCTGAAATCGCAGAAATCGAAGAGAAATCAAAGGATTCTTCAGAAATTTCAGGCAAAACATCTTTAACGGGTGAAGCGAACGCTTCGGCTAAACTCTTCTGAGCAGTCTGCAATGAAAACAAAAACCAGAACAAAGACATAAAAAAAAATGAGCTCGCAAAGCGGAGGAAATTGAGAAATTTTTGCTTATTAGAATCACACTGGCCTTCTTTGATGTTTTTTTTGCCGGAGAATCCTTTGATCGTCGATTGGCGAGATCTGAAGAAGATCGCGGGTGTTCTTTTCGCGACGTTTGATTTTCTTTTTCTTTCATTTTCTAAGTTTCGCTCCGTTTCTCACTGTCTTTGGCGGGAAGATTTTAACAAAATAATAAAAAAAATTACTCTCCGAATAGGGCCGGGCCTATTTATAGTCGACGGGCAGAGGGTGATTAAGAAATGGGCCATACTGGCTCACAAAACCTCCTTTGAATTCCCAAACCCAAATCAATAATCTGGGCCTCAAGAGTTTTTTAGGCCGAAGTTCTAGCCTCAAGAATCAAACACAACAATTCTCATTACTTTCATTTTCTTTTTATTTCCTCCTCTTTACTTTTAAAGAAAATGCTAATTAAACATGTTGATCAATTTTTTAAAATTAAAATCCACTTCATTATAAAATAGCATTCAATATTTTATTATTCCCAAACTATTATATTACAATTAATTTATTTTAAAACTGTTTACTCATTTTAAATACTTTACTTAAGATATAATACGATATTTTTTTTATCTATAAATTTGCATTATAAATTATAAAAATTTTCAGAAAAAGTTTTAGAAAGGATGATCAATTAAAAGAAATTTCTTTCTTTTAATAATGGTATTAGTAATCATATATGGTAAATTTAATAAAAAAGGTCCAATGATTGTTAGGGATCAACAGTAATTTCGATATAATTAAAAGATGATTTTATCAAAGGAAGCCTATATAGTGTGATCAATGTAACATGTGATACCATTGGAAATCATTAAAAAATGTTAATATTGATAGCATTACTATAAACTTTTTAACCGTATGTTCATGAGATCGTGACTATGATCATAACTACCAAAAGGGTCAAACGAGAAAAGCTTTTATTTCAATAAAAAGTGTAAACACGTAATTATTGCAAAGTTAGAAATTGTTTATCACTTTTAGACATGCACCCACGATCAAATTATGAACACATTGAACAAAATTATACAATTGGAAATGCCTTTAATTATCAATATTTTAATCATGATTATTTCTTGTGGCTACAGCCTTATAATTATTTTAAGCCAATCATGATCTTAACTTTATGACTGTACCCATATTTTTTCTCTTCAGTGCTCAAACTTTTATCTCCTTGAATAGTGATCCATCTCGACTATAAAAACCCATGCCTTCGGCTTCTCCTTCCTCACAAGAGTTGGGAAAAACTTGAATGCAACCCTAGTTTTATAGCTTTCTCTGATTCAAACCCTTCTATTTGTTTGCTTCTCTCTTCTCTTTTCAGGCTTGAAACAAAAAGTTAGATCATGAAGGTTTTGCTAGCACTCTTCCTTGCCCTGCTGCATCTTTTGTCGACCGAGCAAGCTGATGGGAGAAGGCTTGCCGTCGGGAATAGTCAGAACAACTGCAGACACCTGATGGAGGAGGCCAGTCCTGCTGATTCCGAGCCTGAGGCAAACCCGACTTACAACAGCTACGGACGAGCTCCGGATTCATCAGCAGTAGAAAATCATCGATATTATCCATGCGACAAGAACCCTAATGGTCGCTGAGCCAAAAAAAAAAAAAAGCCCTAATGGTCATAATTAATTCCTAAACTATGCTTATTTATAGCTACGCTTTTAGATTTTAGAAAATATAATGGAGCTTGCCCAAGTTGCCAATGGAATGAGGAGAGCGTTGCTACGAACTTGCCTTCAGCTCCTGCTTGTTGTAACACAGGCATGGATAAAATTTGCATCTATCTTTCAGATACACTGATATTATATATATA